TGAGTGCCACATTTCCTGGATGCTTTGCCACAGGATGTGATGGCTGCCGAGACTGACAAGCACTTCCAGGTTTGGCACTCTCCACCTATTAACTGAGTCATCTTTGAGAAGGGATCCTTCTCTCCACAGGGTCCTAGCTTTTCCCTTGAGATATGAAGATGAGATGGTAACATCACAATGCTGTTCTGAGGATTAAACAGGTGACACACTACACAGAGTGACATTGTGACATCACTTGTGCAGTATCTGGAGGAGATAATTTCACTATTAATAGCATCTATGCTCTGATTACTGACGGAAGATGACTCAGGGCCTAGAGGAAAATACCTGATGGCACCCTAGAGAGCCCAGAGTTTGGGGTAAGGAAGGCTCTACTTCCCTTGGCTTCCATGAATAGCCATTAGCTGCCTCCCTCAGAAGAGACAAGGATGCTGTGCCTCCCTCTGGTGACCAAGCTGAGATCTCAAAATAGTCAGAGCTTTCCCTGCAAGGAAACTGGCCTAAAGAGTGAGTGAATGATGGTCCCTCTATCAGCAGCACTAGTCTTCAGCAAGGCCAGCAATGGGTCCCATGCTCAGGTCAGTTGGTTCTTCCTTTGTCACAAAAATGGCAGTCATCCCAGGGGTAACACTCACCCAAGGACGATTCTGCAGAGCAGGGGTCCTGTCTGAGCAAGAGAAAAAGACCTGTCTTCTATTTACTTCTCAGCAGGTACAAAATGATCAAGAGTAGGGTACCACTCAGCAGACCTCCCAAAAGGAAAACAGTTCACACCTTAACTGAGCACTTACTGTACTTTGCATGCAAAATTCCATAGCATATCAGTTTTTTTAATCCTTACAAATTACCTACAAAGTAGACATTTTCATCACCTTTGCTTTACAGATGACGAAGCTTTGAGAATTTGTACACAATCACAGAAGTACCAAGAGATAGAGATAACACCCAAGCTGAGGTCTTATCTGGCTCAGGCCTCACAAACAAAAAAAGAACTAAAGGTCAAAATCCTGGACTGATTCCAGGTTGAGCCTTCTCATCTTCGCCCATGACCTCATGTGCCTGACTTTGGAGGAAATGAAGGGAGGCAACAGGTTCCTTCCTGAGTCGAATCCCAAGCATAGCACTGGGAAGAGATCACACTCTTGGGTTTAGGGATAAAGCAATGAGGCTCAGAAGGAGGGGGCCAGGAAACTGAGAAGCAGGAAGGCTCCCGTGAAAGAGTCCAGCTCCAATTCTGAAGCCAAACTGGTTTTACAGCCTTTCTATAAAACGTCACATATGTGACCCAAGGGTAGTGGGGGAAGTGGAAGAGATGGGATGGCCACTGAAGCACCTTCCAGCTCGGGCTCTGCTACATCCTGGATATCTCCAAGATCCAACCACCACCAAAACAGATGTCCAAGGCACTGTGTTCTCAGGAACCTTAACAAATAACACACTTGATTTTGCCAAGATAGAAATAACCACAAGAAAATACTTCCCTTTACTGGTGGAAAAAAAAAATAGCTACAAGAACAATTCATGCATGTAATGTTCTTGTCTTCTATGCCCTGTGTAACTGTGAATTAATTCTCAGAGGGACATAATGTGAGACTACAATGGCAATACCAGAATGACAAGCCTCTTTTTTTCCAAAAAGAAAAGAAAACAAAGAAAGGAAGGATGGCTGCCTCCTTACACAAAAGCTTTGATGGAAATTCCTTTGGATGTACATCAGGCTCATAAGCATTTCAGGTTGGAAGGACAACTGAAGGGCAGCTAGGTTTATCTCTCCTTGGATGAAGTCCCTTCTGTAATGTTTCTGAGCCATAGGAATCCCTTAAATAAAGGAATTCCTATGTACCCCAAGAGCCATAAACCTGACACCATTCAAAGCAGATGATTCCATTCTTTGGGATTTCTGATATTTCCAAAGGACAACCTTGGATTGTGGCCAAGTCTTTCTATAGCACTACTTGTTTGGCACCCTACAGCTGTGCAGGCTCCCCCACATCAGTCCTTCAAAGGTGTGGCACCAGAGTGGGAGTTGTAGTACAGTGGGTTAAGTTGCCAGTAGTATGCCTGTGTCCCAAAATGGAGTGCTTGGTTCAAATCCCGACTACTCTGTTTTCAATCCAGTTTCCTCCTCATGTATATGGGAGACTGCTGCTGATGGCTCAAACACTTGGTCCCCTGCAACCTGTAAGGGAGACTCAGATGGAGTTCCTGGCTTCTGCTTTGGCCTGGCCTAGCACTACTGTAGGCTTCTGGGGAATGAACCAGTAGAAGGAATTTTTGTTATTCTACTTTTTAAATATATAACTTTTTAAAATATTTTTTTTGAGAGGCAGATTTTACAGAAAGAAGGAGGGAAAGATCTTCCATCTGCTGGTTCACTCCCCAAGTGGCTATAATAGCCAAAGCTGACTCAAGATCTGATTCCTGATCTGAAGCCAGGAGCTTCCTCCGGGTTTCTCATGTGGGTGCAGTCTCAGGGTTTGGACCATCCTCTACTACCATCTCAGACCACACGCAGGGAGCTGGATGGGAAGCAGAGCAACAGGACATGAACTATCACCCATATGGGATCCTGGCACATAAAGGGAAAGGATAAGCAAATTGAGCCATTGTGTCAGACCCAAATATATAATATTTAAGAGAAACAGTAACAACAAATGCAGCCCCAGGTCTAGTCTTCTTCAGACTTGTCATTTTGTACTTATATTCTGACTCCTGAAATAGTTGTTGATATTGGTCTGAGTTTAAGACACATTTCCTTGATCCACAATTATTGTGAGAATGATTACTCTTCCAGATGACCCAAACCATGGTTAGCAGGTAATTTTTCAAAGTATAGTAGCAATAACAGTGAAAACTGATTATAATCACCTTGATTTCATGCAAAGAAATAGTAAACAACCCCAAAAAAAAAACTTTAGGAATATCCACTTGGCTAACAGTATGATTGGCAAGCATCCCAAGTTCCCAGCCAACAGGAAATCCAGGAAGAAGTGACCATGTTCAACCAGAACTAAAACAGCCATGCTTCAAACCACAGAACCATCAAAAGCATCTTGCCACTACCTTACACGTTAGATATGTGAAAGTCAAGACCCACAACTCCCAACCCTGCTTCATCATCATCCTCCAAGCTTTTTAAATTGCAGGTACCCTGCAATCACTTGTGTACCGCAGTTCACAGCCACACTTGTAGATATCAAGATACCAAGCCTCAGCTCTAGAGAGGCTCTGAGCAATGACTCCCAACACTACACAAGTAATTCAAAACAGGTGGACAAAAACTGCTCTATAATCCTGTGACAAGTACTTGCAGTCTTGAACAAAGCACTCACAAAAAGTTGTTTCCTCTCTTAAGACTTGGCTCAAACTTCCCCTGAAAGTCGAGCACCTGTTTGGCAAGCACATTTTTCAGACTCAGCTCAACTCCATGCTCCTGCACTTTCTCTAACTCCCTTCTTAGCTACCCTTCTCCTTCAAGTTCCCATGATACCTTGAACAAATCAGCTATTATACCTAGCATCATGTACTGCCAGTATCCTCTCTGTGTCCATTTTCTGTATTAGAGTTCACGTTCTCGGTTGTAGGGAACTGATTATTTGGTTTTATACTTCTAGTCCAGTTGGCACAGTTATTATGGGTTGATAACTGAATAAATAAGGATGTTAGCAGAGTGATAAGAATTAACAGAGCATGTCACTCACAGGATTCACTGGAATTCCAGCTTAGGGAAGCAACAAGCCAAGACATAGCTCTTTCAAAGGGTGTGGTGAGCTTGAAGGAGCCTGTGGAAATCTGTCAGTAGGAATTCAGAGCAGCAGGGAGAGGAGAAAAATCACTGAGGTTGGGGTTTAAGTTTGAGCCAGAGGTGGACAACCACATAAGCCCTGTAAACATGTACACATGATCCTGCAGTCAGCTGGGTCACATTTAAGGTTAGTACTGCCCTGCAGCCAGACACAGGGAAGAAGGGGAAAAATGGAATGGGCATGATCCAGCCAGGGCAGGGGTAGGGAACCCTACAAAGAAGGGTGCTGCATCCCATAAACTGTGCGAGACGGAAGCAAAGGATGAACTCAGATCTGAGAGCTCAGGTGGAACCCACAGGATCTGCAGAATGCATTGAGGCACAGAACAGAGGGGAGAAACTCCACACTGATGCCAGTGCCTCTAACACAAATCCCAGGATGGATCCAGGCCACAGGGACCACAAGATGGGAAAAGGGTGAAGGAATGATCATCAGATCAATTTGGGAAAGATCTCTGGGACAGTTTTTCTGGATGATTCGCTCTAGTTTCAGAATTCCCTTACTGATGATTTAACTCAAAAGACAAAAATTCAGAATCTCATCATTGATTTTGGTGCAGAGTACAAATATTTCGATCCTCCCAGAGACAGATGGAACAGTTTTGATCATTTGAGGGGTGAAAACAACAACTTCAGATATGCAATTCTATGGTTCTTAAACCACTAGTCACTTAACCAGTTAAGTCAGTAGTTGGATACAAACCATTCTTTAGACAATCAAATCCCAACTCTTTCAAATTCCAAATCTGTCTTATTTTCTGGACTCAACTAAGTCATTTTTACATCTTAAAAAATTGTTACCAGGTGGCTGGCTAATGGCCTCACACTGGCCAGCAGGTCCCAGTCACTGGGGAGAATTTGGTTTACACTAATTAAGTGGCTCAGCACAGCCACTCCACGGACTAGCAACCTCACATTTTCATCAACTTTTCAAAATGCTACATGTAGATATTGCTTGGCTAAAAGTCCACAGACACAATCCTAAACAAATCCCCTTTGTATCAACATTGATCTACCTTCTAATCTAGCAACAAATTCCTTCTCACCTCCATTTTTTTAAAGCAGAATCTGCAGAGCAAGGAACTAACAGCATTTCTTTAGGACCAAATGCTTTGCTTAAACAGCAAACAGACTTTCCTGGCCACAGTGCACAAGGACTGTTCTTTGCAGGTAAGAACTAAAACTATCAGCTCACCCTCTTCCTCAAGTTGTAGGTGAGAATCAGGTTCCGGGAGAAGGAGTGGGAGAAGGCTGTGTAGAATTCCAGCACTTTCTGCAGGGCATCTCGTTTGATCACATGCAGGTCACAGTAGGTCAGGGCTCGAACGTTGGCACAGGACTGGGCAAGGGTGGCTTCCTTCCAGAACACATCCCCAAACACGTCTCCTTTCCCTATGGGGAAAGCGGGAAGAGAAAAGTGTTATGAGGAAAGTGTCAGTTAGGAAAGATCTGGCTCTCCAGCTTCCTGTTGCTTTCCAGAATGGCTGTTCTTGCCTCATTCTACAGTTTGGGCTCCAAAAAGGCAAAAATGATGTTAGCTTGAACCTAACGATGTGCAATGCAAGAAACTTGGAAATGACACAGAATATATGTCACAGTTTAGCCAACAGATTTGAGATTATTCACGCCAGCTTCTCCAAGGACGATCCTGATCATCCCATCCCAAATAAGAACTGCCATCTGCAAATGTCCTTGACTACACCACCTTTTCCACATAACACTAATCACAACTTGGAATTAAATTACTGAGTGCTGGGTTATTCTATTTCTGCCAACCTGAGAACTCATGTGCCTTATTCCCCAATATCACAAGCTACCTTCCACATGGTAGGAGCTCGGACCGTATTTGCAGGTGAACTGTGTGTCTACACGAGAGGGAAGTACTTAGGACAGAATGTGGACTCTTCCCAGGGCTGCTGACCAACAAGACCAGGCCTCCTCTATCGAGGTTGATCTACATGGAAAAAGTCTGGCAAGTGTGGGTCTCTCTCTCCTCACTTCTGCTGCCCAGTGCCCGAAAATGTCCCCCCCAACTTATTCTAGAGCCTGTTCCCTACCCTTTCTACATGCCCTCCTGGGAGCATAAAAGTGCAGAACATGTATAAATGATACACCCAGACCCTCTACCCTAAGAGCTTCACAGAGACAAGCTTGGTAAATCAGTAGTGTGTTATAGAATGAATATTTGTGCCCCCTTCCCTTCCCAGTGCAACACAAAATCTTATGTTGCAGTCCTGGCTTTCAAAGTAGCAGTACAAAAAGGTAGATTAAGATTACTTGGGAGGGAGTTCAGGCATGAGGGTGGAGCCTTTACATGAGAAATTAGTGTCTTTATCAATAGGGACTCCCCAGATCTCCTGCACTCTAACATGTAGGGACAAAGATGGAGTCTTTGTATGTGACCTCCAAGAGCCACCTCTCCAGACCTTGGTCACACCTAGATTTGCAGCCTTCAAAGTGTGACAAACAAATTGCTTATGAGTTGCCTGGTCTGTGGTATTCTGTCTATAGTATTCTGCACAAACTAAAACAAGCACTAGTCCCACATGTCCTGGGTGAAACTTCTGTCTTCTCTGAACATCTGCTTCACACACCTGGGAGACTGCGCCTCTTCTTCCCAGTCATCAGCATTTTAACATATGTCTAATGCAAAGCCTGATTCATTCCCGGCACATCCTCTGGTTATAAATAGTTCAAAATGTTTATCTTGCCTCTGTTTTAGCACAAATAAACACAAATTTGAATCCCTGGGGAGCCAAAAAGGCGTATGCAGGGGGAAAAGGGAAAAATGCTACAAAGGCTGATAAGTAATATATTCATGGGTGTTGTCAGCCTATACATCCAGATCAGCTGGGAGCCACAGCTGGGATCCAAGTACTGTAGCTCAGTGTGATTAACAGGGCAGCTGTTACATTGATTAAGGCTAAGGGGGGCAATTACACTTTCAAGCACATGGGCAAAACTTGACTTTTTCTTAAATGCTAAAACATGTCCACTGAAAGCATTTAAGATACTCCATAGGTATTGCCTTTTCTAAATATCTCCAACAATACAACCTGCAAAGCATACAGACTGGATGCATTACTTCACAGTTCTCCATGCATTTGTAGTTCTAATCTCCCAAGATGAGAACTACTGTTAAGTGGGAAATATGTTTGGGTACCTTCTACATAAACATGCTTTTAAAGGCATGCTATTTAGATTTCCTTAGAAAGTTCTTTGTTTTCAAACTTCTGTAATATGAGTGAGTTCCTTTAGGGTTGGGGTCACTGCATGGGATAATATCCTTCTGGGAAACTAACTGGCTTCCACAGAAATATGCTCATTACAAATATGCTCCTTAGTACAGAGTACTCAACAAGACAGATAATCTGTTTGTACCTATTAAGCATTCTATGACCTTTCCACACAGTCCACAGTGATCTCTGTGGCCTTCTTGCTTACGTAATCATGTTCCCCTAGAGAAAGCTCTTCCTCTGAGTTAAGAAAAGCATCTGATCGGTCCACCTCCCACTCTGTGCACATGCTGCAATTCATATCAAGCAGCAATGCCATGTCCCCTTCCCCTTGAATCTAAACTTGTCTTAGTAACACAGCATAGGACAGAAGCAATCTTCCTTACATCTTATGCCCAAGTCTTTTAGAACATTTGTTCCTGAGACTTCTGCTCTTGGGATCCAAGATACACATGAGATGCAAAAGCCACACAAGAGGGCATGCGGATATGCTGTTGGCCTGTGAATACAGTATGTGTACACTTGGGCTCTCAATTCACAAGCAGCTTCAAGTGTCAGTCATGTCAACATGCCATCTTGGTCTTCCAGTCCAGTGCAGCCTTTGGATGGCTGCAACCTCGCTAATATTGGACAAAAATTATGCATGGTCCAAATGACAACCAAACAGCTGAGCTACAACAACACACAGCAGGATGAGACGAGAACACATTTCACAGGCCACTAAACTCAGGGGTGACTCACTACACAGCTATTATAGAACAAGAGTCCATAGAATTGTAAGATGCTAGCCTGAAATGCTCAAGAGAAACAACCCAACAGGATACATAATATTTCAGAACATCACAAATGATCTCAGTATTCAGCTGGCCCCTTTGTATCCTGCCCTGAAACAAGAAGGCAAGAAAGAACAAGGTATGACTCCAACAGGGACAGACTTTTCTTGTTAAGCCTTCTGAGTATCATTGAGACAATGTAGTACTTGCAAAAACCTGCAGTCTCCTCTTGAGATGAAGTGTGGTGTAACTAAGCCAGAAATACTGAGAACAGAAGCCTACTTGTAATCTTGTCTGATTCATATCAAGATTACCTCATTTAAACAAGATCTAATGTTTGAGAATTATGCTGCTCAAGTGAATCTGCAAGTCATTTCCTACTTATAAAAGAAATGCATAAAGTAAAATAAAAGCTTCTTATGTGCAGTAAACATATGGATTTATCCATAAAAACTGTTCAGGGCTTTACCTATTGCATAAAACCAAGGACCATTACATTGAGGTTGGAACTCAGCAAGAAATGAATAAGCCTTTAGAAAAGACATCACTACCCTTGTAAAGTTCTCCAATCAGTGATTTTTTTTTAGCAGAAATAATTAAGGGTGAAACATAGGCCACAATAAGATCACCATGGTTAACCTGCAGGTATATGAGACTCAGTGTTGCCATAACTCAGTGTTACGATTTTCAACCCAGATTGAAGATCATGCAATCTTCGTTCCAACTCAAGACAGCATTTTTAGTATAAATTCTGTTAGACTTGAAAATGTAGGGTCACAGGACCTGGCAGATTCCAAACAAGCCCAGACTATTCTGGCAAGTAAGAGACTGCTGCCACATGCGACTTAGAGAAACCAAGGGAAGGGGACAACACAGTCGGCAGGCTGCTTGGAAGTCAGCCTCGTGGCTGGAACAATGACTTCCTACGTCAGGATCGGGAACTGGAAACCAGGGCGAGTCCTCCACCCACGTTGGTCTCTTGCTGCCTAATGCGAAATACATGATCACTCACTCAAGAACAGAAGGTACCCCCATACACTCTGCAATCAAACAACTCAAGCAATAAATGTATTGATTTATTTATCACATGGAGGCGCTGGGTGCAGAATATGAAAACCTAATGTTCCAAGCCTCTAAAACGCTAACATTCTAAATGGATGTTCTGAACTGGAACGAGGGGTGGGGTGACAGCAGGCAGCGGTAAGAGTGCAGGACTGGCCATCTAACTAAAACTGCAGGTAAACCACTACAGTAAAAATCACCCTCTACATTATTTCCAGGGGCCAATAACAGCCTGGGCAGGCATAGGCAGGGGACTGAGAACATTCACAAAACCTGTGGGAGGCAGGACATGGGCCTGAGGGGACCAGAGCCAGGGAGGAGAGAGCTACAGCAGGGGCACCGCGCAGCAGAAAACCAAAGCCAGAGACTGGAACAGTCACCTGAGGCAGTGGTGGAGTGCTTGGGGGAGGGCAGAGGAGGTAAGCAAGTGGGAACCAAGAGGCTAATGGTGTGGACTGGGGCAGGTTCCAGAGGCGCTGAAGCTGGCACCCTGGAGGAACTACGCAGACCTTGTAGCAGCACGAGGAACCCTCCAGAGAAGGCCTGCATAGTTTGACAGGCTCTGAGAGCACTTGGCAGGCCAGGGCAATCAGGACCAAGATGAAATGTCTGACTGCTTCTCTTCTCTATTTCCTATTATGGGCTTGATTTTTTTAATTGCCACATAGCAATGGTATATAATTGTGGGGGCTACAGGGTAGCATTCTGACATATATGATATATAATGACCAAGTCAGGGTGATTAGTCTCACATCTCTTCAAACATTTACCATTTCACTGCATTAGAACATTCAAAATATTCTCTGCTAATTTGAAATGCATAATAAATTATGACTCAGTATGGTCACCTTGCTGTGCTACAGAACACTAGGACTTAATCCTACCTACCTGTGTTTTGTGCCCACTAAGCAACCCCTTTCCATCTCCCACCCCATGTCCCAGCCTCTAGTAGTCATTTCTCATTTCTTCTACAGGATCAACTTTAACTGTGACACATGAGGCAGAGTATTTAGTATCTCTGTCTCCCCGTGCCTGGTTTATTTCAATTCACACAAAGTCTTCCAGATTCACCTATATTGCTATACATGACAGGACTTCACTCTTATGGCTGAATAATGCTCCATTGTGCACATAGGGCTAATGTGCTTTTTGAAAGACTCCCGGTACCTCCTGTACTTTGTAAAAACAGAATTCTAAAGTAATGATCTGTTAAAAATCATTAACCACTTCTAGACCCAAATAATTTCAGAAGGATTCAGTCATTCACACAACTTTTGTCAGGCACTTTCTGGAGTACTGAGGTCTAATAGTGGAACAACGC